GTTCATAATTCGCTCCTTACATAAATTTGTAAACAAATAACTATTACTGGTTCCATTTCTATTTTTTGGTTCTGCCTCAGCAAGATATTTTATCTACACTTTTCTTCTAGCTTTCCTTACTAACCATTTATTTAAAATTTGATGGAATAATATTTAAAAATAAATTTCTAAAATTAGTAAAATGTTTTTTTTTTTTTTTTTTTTTTTTTTTTTTAACATCTTCACTTCCAACAAGGCTGCAAGCAACCACTATAAGAGTTGGAAGTTACTGGAAGAGAAAAGACTAAATCTGTAGAGCAAGATAACGATTGACTGATGACTTAAAAGATTGCAAATTATATGAATCAGGAAAGCAAGATGAAGGAAGCGAATTCCAAAGAACTGATGTTCGAGGAAAAAAACTAGAAGAATAAGAGTTTTTGAAGCACTTAGGAACAGTCACAGAAAAAGGATGAGACTTAATTGAATGGCGAGTAACACGAGAATGAATTTTAGTAGATGGCACAAGGGACGCTAGCTCTTTAGAGCAGTGCCCATTATAGTATTTGTAGAAAAGAGAAAGAGAAGCAACATTACGACGATGTGACAAAGGTTGGAGATTGGCTGCCAGAGCAGGTCCAACTATGTTTACAATTCGTTTTTGCAACTTGTCTAGAAGAGAAAGAGCATCATTAGAAGATCCGCCCCAGATGTGGCAACAGTATTCCATACAGGGACGGATTTGAGATTTATAGAGATAGAGAATAGAATCTGGAGTAAGAAAGTGTCGAGCTCGATAAAGAGATGCAACCTTAGCAGATGCTAATTTTGCAATGGATTTGATATACGGTTTAAAAGAAAGATCAGAAGTAAGAGTTAATCCTAGAAGATGAATGGTAGATGACTCATCTAGTACATTACCATTCATAAATATAGGAAGATCTAAATTATTACGATAACGATTGGCCGAATAAAATTGAGTTTTATCTGAATTAAAGTTCACCAGCCACTGTGAGCCCCATGCTGTAGCAGAAGTGAGATCCTTTTCAAGCTCAGATACCCCCTCCAAGCAATCAGAGAGTGTAGGCTTCTTATCATGACAAGAGTAAATGGTAGTGTCGTCAGCGAATAATGCCACCTTAGATGTGAGAATATCTGGAAGATCGTTAATGTAAATTAAAAAGAGTATAGGGCCAAGGATTGAACCTTGAGGAACCCCTGAAGTTACAGGATGTGAAGAAGAGTGTTGTCCATCGAGGACAACTTTTATACTACGATTGGAAAGAAAGGACTCAATAATCTTAAAGACGTTACCAGCTACACCATAAGAAGAAAGCTTATGGAGAAGACCAGCATGCCAAACTTTATCAAAAGCTTTAGAAATGTCAAGTGCGATAGCCTTAACCTCTCCACCTCTATCTAATGCACGGTAAAACCTATCGGTTATTACTTTTAGCACATCAGCTGTAGAACGAGAAGACCGAAATCCATATTGATGATCAGAAAGTAAGTTATTTGATTCAAGATGAGAGATTAAGTGTTTGTTGATTAAAGATTCAAAAACCTTGCTTATGACAGGAAGAAGACTAATGGGACGGTAGTTAGATGAATCAGATCGCTCTCCGGAATTTTTGAAAATAGGGATAACAGATGCTGCTTTCCAGCATGATGGAAAACAAGACTCTGATAAGCACTTGTTAAATAGTTTAGAAAGTATGGATGAAAGCTCCGGAGAACACCTCTGCAAGACTACAACAGGAATGTTGTCAGGACCACAAGCTGTTGAAGAGTCTAAGCAGGAAATTACTTTAGATACAGAAGCTGAAGTGATGCGAATGTCAAGCAAGGGATCAACCTGTTTGACGGCTATGTCAGGTAAAATGCAACTAGTGGAATCAAGAGATGATATTGATGAAAAGTTCTTAGCAAACAATTCAGCTTTGTCTTTAGGTGAGGTGACAAAGTCTGAACCATACAAGAGAGAAGGAATAACAGATTTGCCCTTATTATTGATACTGTTAAAGATTCTCCAGAAGTCTCGAGAGCCTAATTTTTGTGATGAGATACGAGATTTAATGACCTGGGAATAGCGAGCTTTGGCGTCAGACAAAACCTTTTTACAATGGTTTCTGGCGATAGTGAACAGATGTCTGTTTTCTGGGGAATTGTTTTGCTGATAGATATGGAAGTAACGGTTTCGATTAGAAATTGCTGCAGCGCAATGTGAGGAAAACCAAGGAGAAGAGTGAGGCTTGACCTGGAATCGTCGAGAGGGAATAAAAGATTCCATGCCAGCCTGAATCCACGAAGTTATGTAAGAAGCACATTTGTCAGCAGGAAGACAAAAGATTTCTACCCAAGGGCCATCACGAAGAAAATCACGGAAAGAGTCCCAGTCAGCTTTAAGGTAGTTGTATGTGGTACGATGATAGGGGGATTCTGATGAAGTAGAAGAATTTGATAATAGTTTTAGAGAGATCAAACCGTGATCAGAAGTACCTAAGGGTGAATGTGGAGAAATTGAGCACTGACTAGGATCCAAAACAAGACATAAGTCGAGTAGAGAAGGTAAATGATTAGGGTTGTCTGGAAAACGAGTTGGAAAGTTGACTATTTGAGTTAGAGATTGAGAAAGGCAAAAGTTGAGGGCCTTAATGCCAGCAGAGTCACTGACACTAGAGCCAAGCCAATCGGTGTGATGGGCATTAAAGTCACCAACAACGACGATATTGGCCGATGGATAAAGAGAGAGGGCTTGGTCAATTTGATCAGAAACAACATCAAGAATAGTGCAATCTTGGGATGAAGGAGAGCGATATAGAACAAAGAGAAAGGCGATAGAGTGAAGTTGTGCTAAACGAAAGCACATAAATGAATAGTCTGTAGATTCAAACCTAGTTTCACGACAAATGGGTGAGTTCTTACGAATGTAGATGCCCAGGCCAAGCATGTGATTATTGGAGTCTTTACGAATTAAAGGAAGATAACCATCAACACTAAGATCACAAGATGGGACAGCCGAACTCAAATTAGTCTCACAAAGAGCAAGTAGGTCTGGTGAACTTTGCAAGAGATAAGACTCAACAGAAGAAAAGTTACTTCGAAGACCACGAATATTAGTAAATGATAGGTTTAAAGAACTTGGTGATGACGATGGTTTTTTGTGTTTTTTAGTTTTAGGTACTTTAGTCATTTTAAATTTATAAAGAACTTGACTCAAGTATAGATAGTACTCAGTACACTATTTAACAACTAAGCAATAGCCTCATTACTATTAATAAACCCTAAGCCGTAACAAAGGGCTCCAAATGTGGCCTCTGCAATGCACACCAAAAGTACAAACAGGGACACCATCCATGCGCAACATGGCACTGTTAGTACTCTGATATTTTTCGGCTGTTGATGGAATCAGCCTCTCTGAGAGCTACCACAGAGTTCGGGAAACCTGACTACCAGCCGGCCTCAGAACCATAAAACTGAGTTTTAGAGCTGTACCCTCATTAGGAGATAATAGAATGAGTTGCCCAGTCATAAAAATAGAGACACAAGCAATACCCACGCATTGAGTCAAGAAGATCCAGCGTTCAACATCCTAAACTGGAAACAATGTATTAAAAATACATCTGCGCCAGCCTAATAGATGAGAAAGGGGTGCGAGGCTGGTCAACAGATAGAATCTGTTTACCCCTTAAGTCTTTGCCTAGGAGGCCTTCTACAAGACAGCAGCTGGATGCATGTAACATCTGCCCAAGATGAGTATTTTTATCGAGACACCATCTCTAGCCTTTACTCAACCAAGAGCCCCAAGGCAGGGGGTGTTTTAATTCGGAGTTAACTTCTCCTAGCCTTTGCCTAAAAAAGCGTATCCTACAAGGCAGCAGGACATGGAGCAGGTTGTACTGGGTTACATGTTACCAGTAGCAGGAAAACCTGACCTGACCTTAACAGATTTTATTATTTTTATATTTATTATTTTTATTATTTATAATGGTAATTTATTGAAGTAAAAATTATTTTACTTTTTTTTTATTTTTTATATTGCTACATAAATCAATAGTAAACTAATACAATATTTAAAGCATAAATTGATCTGTCATCAGTTTTTCTGTGACCCCCCCCCCCCCCCCAAATATTTTTCCCAAACTCTTTGAAGATTCTGACCCCCTCTTTGAAAACCACTGCTCTAAAAATTTCTGATTTCTTCCCTGCGTGCAATACTGTGGTCTTGTTGGCTGGTTCTTTTAAAAATATCCTTTTTCTTTCTTTTATATATCTTATATATTTTTGAGAAAAACATAAATTTGTTTCTTGTCTAATATTTAAAAAAAATGCATGTTTGTAAGTTCTTGGTTTTTGTTCGTGCCTTTTTGATATCGGGTAAAACCTCTTTCTGTTATCTTTTATGCAATATATAAGCTTTAAAAATCAGTTTTTTAGTTATAAGGCTGGCTGGTAGTAAGATTAAATCGAACAATGTGGTAGCACTAAAAGAGGCTGATTACACCAACAGTTTTAAAACTTCAGAATATTAAAAATACCATGTTGTGCATGGATAGTTTTCCTGTTAGTACTTTTGGTGTGCATTATTTAGGCTACATAAAGAACTGTTTGTTACAACTTTGTATTGAATAATGTAAATTATTTATCTGCATAGCTTATTGCTCAGTGTGACAAGTAAGTATGTTTGAGTCTCTCTAATAATTTATATGATTAGGATTTGATAACATTTTGGAGATAAGTTTGAGGAAGAGCTCTTTGATTTTTAGTTTTAAAAATCTTTTAAGTCTTATCTGAAATAATATTCATGTGTGGGAGATAAAATGTTTGACTTGCTTTTGTTGTCAAATAAAAAATTTCAAAATTTTTTAGAATTATGATTTATTTTATTAAAGAAAGGAAAATTGTTGTCAAATAAAAAATTTCAAAATTTTTTAGAATTATGACTTATTTTCCTTTCTTTTGATTGGTTATAGATTTCATAGAAAAAATTAATGAAATTAATAAATTCTTTTTTATTGTAGGTGCCAATATATTGTTAGATTTATATGGGAACTGTAAACTTGCTGATTTTGGTATATCAAAACAGATAAAAGTAGATTTTCTAATTATTTTATTTATTTGCTTTTGTTAATAACTTTGTCTCTTTTAATGAAAAGTTTATATTATAATATTTCTATTATATATTGAGTACATGTGCATTAGTGGATATATTAAGGAATATATATATATATATATATATATATATATATATATATATATATATATATATATATATATATATATATATATATATACAGCGTGGAAAATAACAGCTAGTCAACAGGCTACAACTACCCAAAAAAAAAAAATTTCTATTTTGACTTCCCAAAACGAATTCTTGCTGGTCATGGTTGCCGGTTGAAAAAAATTTTGAGTTTTGAAAAACAAGATTTGACAAACAATCAGGATATAATTTTGAAAATGCATTTTCTACAATGATTTAAATTTATTTAAATTTTAAAAAGCGTTTTAAAAAGTTTTATTTTTTACAATCACTGATCTCTATAATAACTGGGTAGTGCATCTCTAATATGAGATGCACTATCCAGTTAATAAAAGTTAAAAACTTGGCGCCAAAATTGTCATACTGGAAAGCCCCAGAAGACTGAATGGAATTTATGAGATTATACTGTTATACTTAAAGATTTTATGAGATTATACTGTTATTATAGAATAATAATAACTATTTATAAGGGTTAGGGAGGTATTTATAATATGGTAACAGTTGTTACCATTTTATAAATACCTCACTAACCCTCCGTTAAAAAAAAGCTGTTATTTTAATGCTATTAGTGATTTTTATGAATCCAAATGAATCATATTTTTAGACAATTCGTTCACGTGTAGGATGTAAAACATCAGCTGGAACACCTTACTGGATGAGTCCTGAAGTTATTAGTGCAACTTTTCTAGATATTGAATATGGAAAAAAAGCTGATATATGGTATTTTTTTAATGTTTTAAATGTATAGTTAGATCATTTTATTTATTGGTTTTATTTCATTCATCCATTTATCAATTAGATTAGTGTACAATAACAATGTTAACTCCATTTTAAATTAAGTTTTTAAAAATTTCTTTTAATTTAAGTTTTTAATTTGATCAAAATTGATAAAGGTTACCAGACTTTTTATCAAGCTGTGAAGCTCCTCTCTTGACGTCAATAAGCCCTACTGTTGTAGATCTTTTTCTTTTTTTTTTTTTTGTTAACATTAAAATTTTATTTTAAAATTTTGTTATTGTTTAATCTTGAAGTGTGTTTACCCAATGTATTGCTTTTTCAAAAATTTTATTAGGAAGTTGTTTTGAGGGATGAAGCTAGATAGGAATTTACTCAATTTAGGTCAAATTAGATATGGTAATTCTGTTTAGTTTAGGTTACTGATAGTTTTAAATTATATGACTTTATTGCTGGAACAAGATACTAAATGTGAAGATTTACAACTTGACCATGACTGTTTAGATGTTTTGATGATTTCAGAAATTTTCAGAAATGCGCTGAAAAAAGAAACGTTAAGCTTAACTTAAACTAGGAGAAAGATTAAAAAAACAAAAGAATAAGCAAAGCAATTCCTTACAAAAAAGAAAAGAAAATTAAAAAAACTAGAAGTTAACAATATTTATAACATAAACATTTGAAAAAAATTACTTTAAAACTCATCTTTTACAATTTTTATTGACTGTTTAATAAATGAAAAAATTTTATTTAAATTGTTGAAAAGTGAAATTAAATTATTGAAAAGAAAAAAATATAATATTTTTAAGTTGTATAAACTTATTTTTTTTTGCAATATTTTTTTCAAAATTTTGCAAAAAGAAAAATGTTTAAACAAATCATGTAGACTTTTTAAAATCGTAATTTTTAATCATTTCATGCTTTAATTAGTAAGTCAAGTTTTAAAAAAAAATTTTTTTCAATTCTTTGTAAAAAAAAAAAAGCAGTTGAATCTTGGAAAGACTTAATTTAACATAGTCATAATTTAAAGTGACTTAAAAAAATAATCTTTTGAAAGATATTTAGAAAAACATTGAAAAATAGTTTCAAACATTTAAATTTATCATAAAAAATGTATATACCTACTAAAAAAAAAATTTTAATATGACATTTAATTTACACATAATACATTATGATATTTAATTTACATTTTAATACATTTATTTTAAACAATTATTGTAATTATTTTTTGATTTTATTTCCCGTGAAATAAAAACTTTTAAAAAGACAAATAATTCAAAGTTATTCGTAATGTAACAATTTTTTTAGGCTGTGGTTATTCTTTCGACACCGAATCCCAAAGTAAAATGGCTATTCTTCTGATATATATGTGCAGTATTCATATGCATGTTTGCTAATTAAAAAATTTAGCAAAAAGAATAAAATAAATTTTTTTTTTCTTTTCTTAAACAAAGTCATTATTTGTACACGCACACAAATTTGTTTATCTAAAAAACATTGAAATTGAAATCGTTTTATTAAAAAACAAAAGTCTGCAATGAAATACTCTAAATAATAAAGAAAGAAACTTCACTAGACTAATCTTAAATAAACTGAATAACTTGACAAAGATTTTGATAACATAACTCAGTTTTGTTAAACTGTAAAAATTATATTTTGAAAGTTTGATCAGACAATGTCCGACCCAAACAAGTTTGGATTGGACGTTTTGTCTGGGACTTTATAAAAAATTAAATTGAGCCCTGTATATTAAGCCACTGTCTAAACATACTTTTTTTTCCAAAGCATGTTGGCTCACTTTGGGATTTATGTAAGCCATAAATATAAATATAATTCCGAAAAAATTATACAATTTGGAGTTATAATCATTTTGGGAAATCATTTTAAAGTTTTCAATTATTTGTGTTTTTTTTTTTTCAACAATTAAATTAATTAAATATATCGCAAAATCATAAATATCTGTGACAGAAACATTTTGCAAGTCTTGCCTCATTTTTAAGATGTTTTATGAAAGCTCATTGGCTAATGTCACATAGAAACGAAGGTTTGTAAAAAGTTTACATTGCAGATGTTTATGAAAAGTTCGATTAAATATTAGTTTGAAACTAGAAAATCAGATTTTCTAGTTTTTAACTCAATTGTTAACAAAAAGTTCTTCAAAATTGTTGGATAACTCGATTGTTAACAAAAAGTTCTTCAAAATTGTTGGTGTTTAAAAATAGCTTGGGCCAGGGTCTTTTTAGCATACTGGAACTTCAACAATTTTATAAACCTCGCAATCAAAGTTACACCAAGTTTGATGTTGTATATATGTCAATCATCAGAGTCATAGAAAAATTTTCAATATCAATAATATTGATATATTATATATTATAGTTTTGTATTGTATTCAATATATATTATATTTGCATTAATACAACATTGTAAAATTACTCTGAGAAAAGTATACAATATTCTGACTTTTTCATATTTCTCTTGTTTTCTGCTCTGCTTTGGTTTTTAGCCAGAATGAAGTTATGTCTCTTCACCCGTCCATAAACCTTTTTAGAAGCTTCAGATGTGAGTTTTACAGCTCTTTTCCACAGACTGAGAATTGTTTGGCAAGTCAGTTAGAGAAAGTTTATTGCCCGTTTAAATAGCTTGTTTTAATTCATTTGAAGAAACAAAAATTGAAGTGGGAGGTTCAGTTTGTATTAAAGAAACTTCAATTAAGTCGGTCCAAACAACAGCATTGAAGTTCAAGGTCATAATTGTCTTAGCTTTAATTTTAAGTTTAAAATCTGGATTTCTTTCCCTAGACAACTTAATCTCCAAGATTTGATTGAGAACACAATCTCTTACAACTTTTTCATCGTCTAGCAGCATAGCGTAAAGAAAATTTTCTTGACAGCAGCAATACTTTTTGTCGTTTCTTGTTGCCTTCGCTTGGTCCACATTGCCTAACTGCCAACTTCCTTTTGGTCTTATCTTGCATCTTTGGTCCTCTCTTTCCAGAACAGGGACCTAAAATAAGTCAAATTTTCTAAATTTGAAAGTATTTAAATTTAAAGTGAATAGAATGAATTAATGGTCAAATGGTTAGTGATCAATAATCATTTTAACATAACTTCATAAAGGAGCAGCAGTTTCTAAAATGACTTAAGGCTATTTTATTTTCCCTAACCTTACATATTTATGAATTTTAACTGTAAATGCCTATTAATATTAGTACAAAAATGGCATGAATTACCTTTCTACTTTCCTCACAGAAACAAACTATGTGTTTTATTGTGCAATTACTTTTCCGACATCCATTTCATCTAAACGTATATTATTTTACTATAAAATCAAAACAATATAGAAACCATTTATTGCATAGGCTAACATCCGTTAGTTTACGGTTGTAGGCCTTACTTTAATACCTTAGTAGAAGGCAGAGGGATGGGGTAGTAAATTTTCATCTACCTTTACAAAATATTTTTCACGTAACATTAAAAAAAAGTTGTAATAAAAAACTTTAAAAGATATTTGTTTACCTATCATTACAATGGAAGATCGTACCGGCAAGCAGACACATCAAACAACGTTTCCAGTTTCTTTTCTAGCCAGCTTATACCAGACTTATAGTTTTTAGATTGAATTCCTTCTGCAGACAACACTTTTAGAAATCTTCTCGATATTTTATTTTTCAATGGTTTATCTTTTATCAGAGATAGATTTGGATTGGCCCTACACCAAAGCTGTTGCAAGTCACTATTGATTTTTGTCACGATTGATACAGAGTTAATTTTCTGTCCATTAAATAATTCTTTCTCAATTCTGTAACCGTATTGAATGACCTGTTTGTAAGTTGGTAAATCGCTTATGGGTAAATCAGAGGCTTTTCCAGCAAATCTTCCACTATTAATACGAGTTTTATTTAAAACTTTCACAGGTCATCCAAGTTTTCTATTTTGACTTTAGTAAGCTTATTTTTTGATCAGTTTGTTTTATACTATCACATGTTGCCAATTCATTAGGCATCTCTTCGTCAAGTTTTCCAAGGTAAGCAAGTTCGTAAAATTGTTGCAAGTCATTGAATTCTACTTCACTTTCTTTGATTTTTTTCATTAATAATGATGTTAATGCTGACTCAGCCAAAATGTGTGCTCTTGTTACTCTTGCAATATTGATATGTTTTTCTTGACATCATTCCATTGATATGTTTTTCTTAACATCATTCCATTGATATGTTTTTCTTGACATCATTCCATTGATATGTTTTTCTTGACATCATTCCATTGATATGTTTTTCTTGACATCATTCCATTGATATGTTTTTCTTGACATCATTCCATTGATATGTTTTTCTTGACATCATTCCATTGATATGTTTTTCTTGACATCATTCCATTGATATGTTTTTCTTGACATCATTCCATTGATATGTTTTTCTTGATATCATTCCATTGATATGTTTTTCTTGACATCATTCCATTGATATGTTTTTCTTGACATCATTCCATTGATATGTTTTTCTTGACATCATTCCATTGATATGTTTTTCTTGACATCATTCCATTGATATGTTTTTCTTGACATCATTCCATTGATATGTTTTTCTTGACATCATTCCATTGATACGTTTTTCTTGACATCATTCCATTGATATGTTTTTCTTGACATCATTCCATTGATATGTTTTTCTTGACATCATTCCATTGATATGTTTTTTAAGTAGTAAACTTTGTACACCCAGTTGATACTAGATTTATATTTTATTCTAAACCACAAGAACAATTGCTCAACTCAAAATTGTGACAATAATGTTTACACATTCTTAATTTGTTAAAGTAATTTTTTACACCAACTTGATATAAATGAGACTTATATTCCATTCTTTGACATGAGGGGAGGTATGTAAAGCAGAGGTACTGCAAAGGTGGAACTAACTTCTTATGATAATAATTGAATAGACATTTAATATATAAAAAAAATGTTACATGTAATGAAGGACAATACATTTTTTA